CGCCGGGACGCACCGACGCAATTCTGATATATCCCGTTATGATAGAGAGGGGGCTGGCGGCAGGGGGCGAAGCCCTTACGGATAAGAATATGCTGAGATGGCACTGGCATGTTTTATAGATATTTCTAAAACTTTTCTGCTAATCCTCATCACCCGTCTTCTCATCATGATGTGTACCTCTTCCTCTTCTCATTTCCCATGATCATCCTCACCGTCATCCCCATCAGCAACGACGCCATGATCATCACCACAACCACCACAACCACAACCACCACAATGCTCATCATCAGCATCCCTCTCCTCCTCCTCCTCCTCCTCCTCCTCCTCATTATCATCATCGTCATCGTCATCGTCATCATCATCATCATCATCATCATCATCATCATCATCATCATCATCGTCGTCGTCATCGACGTGATCTTCATCATCATCAACATCATCATCATCATCATCATCAGAATCAGCATCATCATCACCATCATCATCGTCGTCATCATCACCATCACCATCACCATCACTATCACCATCACTATCACCATCGCCATCATATCGTCTTCTCATTATCATTATCAGCGTAGTGGTAATTGTAATCGCCGTCCGCATCCCCATCTCCTTCCTTATCCTCCTGCTCCCCCTTCATCTGCTTTTCGTTTTTCTCTCCCCCTCGATCCCTCCCTCCCTCCCCCCTCCCTCCCCCTTCCCTCCTCATCCTCCTGCTCGTTTTCCTCCTCCTCCGCCGTCTCCTCTACTTCGTCTTCCTCCTCATCAGAAGCATAGTCATCATCATCATCATCATCATCATCATCATCATCATCATCATCATCATCATCATCATCATAGCCATCATCATCAACAACACCCCACCCCCACCACCACCACCACCATCATCATCATAATCAACATCATCACCGTCGTCGTGATCATCATCCTCATCATCGTCATCATCATCATCAGCAGCATCATCAGCATCATCAGCATCCATCTCTCAAATCCTATCCACCTCCTCCTCCTCCTCCCTCTTCCCCGCCATTATGTTGCCTTGTGAATCACACCTCCCTCTCGCGCCCCGAAACTCGTCGGTAAGGCGGGCGGGGCGTTTCGCCTGAGCTTGGAGGTTGCAAAAGTTTCACTCGTGGAGGGCAGGTGGTTACATAAATGTCGCTCTCGCCTTAGCACCACGCACATTCGTTTTAGAAGATGGCAACAGCTTCACGGATGGAGGGCGGGTGGTTTTCAAAATGTGGCTCTCGCCTGAGCGCCGCGCACATTCGCCTGAAAAGGTCGTAAGAGCTTCATGGATGGAGGGCGGGTGGTTCCCAAAACACTTGTAACAGCTTCACGGAATGAGGGGGTTTGCAAAATGTAGCTATCGCCTTAGTGCCGCGCACATGTGTCTTAAAAGTTTGCAACCGCTTGACGGCTGGAGACTGGTTCGAGTTCAAGACGTAGCTCACGTCTTAGCGCCGCGCACGTTTGTCTTAAAGGTTCGCGGCAGCTTCACGGATGATGGGCTGGTGTTCAAAAAGTGGCCTTTGCTTTAGCGCCGCGCACGTCCGTCTTAGAAGTTTGCAACAGCTTAACGGATGGAGGGCGGATTGCTTTTGAACATGTTTCTCTCTCCGTAGCGCGGCGCACCTTCGTCTTAGAACATCGCAACAGCTTCACGGATGGACGGCGGGTCACTTTCAAAATGCGGATCTCGCCTTGGCGCCGCGCACATTCTTCTAGAAAGGCTGCAACAGCTTCACGGATGGAGGGCGAGTGGCTTTCAAAATGTGGATCTCGCCTTGGTGCCGCGCACTTTCGTCTTAGAAGGTCGTAATGAGCTTCACGGGTGGAGGGCGGATGATTTCCGAAATGTGGCCCTCGCCGTAGCGCCGCGCATGATCGTCATAAGAGTACGCACGAGATTCACGGATGGAAGGCGGGTCGTTTTCTAAATCTGGCTCTCACCTTTTAGCGCCGCGCGAATTCGTCTTAAGAGTTTGCGCAAGTTTCAAAAATAGAGGGCGGGCTGTTTGGAAAAAGTGTGGCTCTCGCCTCAGCGCCGCCGCGCAGTTTCGTCTTCGAAGTGCGCCGCAGCTTCACGGATGAAGCGCCTTCGCTTTAGCGCCACGCACGTCCGTCTTGAAAGTTTGCAACAGCGTCTCCGTGGCGCCGCGGGCATCCACAGCGCACAATTGGCGTCAAAGTTCGCGACAACTTCACGGATGGAGGGCGGGTGGTTTTCAAATGTGCAACGCACATTCGTCAAAAAAATCGCAAAAACGTCCAGGATTGAAGGCGAGTGGTTTTTTAAATGTGGCTCTCGCCTTCGCACCAAGCGAATTCGTCTGAGAAGTTCGCATGACTGTCACAGATGGAAAGCGGATGTGTTCAAAACGTGGTTCTCGCCTCACGCCGCGCATCTTCGCCTTAGAAGATCGCAACAGCTTCACGGATGGAGGCGGGGGGGGGGTGTCAAAATGCGGCTCTCGCCCGACCGCGTGCCAACTCGTCTTGCAAGCTTACATACACGAACTCCTGTGGCTGGCGTCCCAGAAATGAGGTTCCAGCACGATTTAGGATTCTCCAGGCGCAACAGTCACGTTGAGTCGCGGTGTATAAGTGCCGGGAACAGTGTTCTGACACGGTCCAGGTTCCTGAGGGCGCAACAGAGAACTGAGTCGCGACGTCGAAGTCAAGTTAACTATTTTTTGGCCCGACAGACGACTCTCAGACAATTGTCTTCGAACGGGCCACTTCCAGCAGTGAAAAATCCACCGGCCCGCTCGGAGTGTGTGTGACGCTGTCGTCGTCTTCGTCGTCGTTGCCAGTCCCAAGGAAGTCCAGAAATTAACATGGAAAAAACGTCGTAAAAGAAACGTCGCAGTTAAGTCGATTCCCTCGTCTTTTCCCCTCCCCGACGGGGGGCTAGGGGGGGTCGGCGGGGGAGTGGGGGTAAGGGGTGATACCGGGGGGAGGTAGGGGGGGGAGAGGGCGGGGGAGGGGGGGTCCTGGGTCAGATTACCGCCCCCCCGAAGCCTGGCGGCCCTCCCTCCCCTCCCCCCGGGCAGTCCCCCCCACGCCTCGGCCCCGGCTCCGGGCCTGGTCCTGGCCTCCTGCACCAGCCCCGGCCCCGGCCCTGGCTCTGGCCCCAGCTCGGACCCCGTCCCCGGCCCCGGCCCCGGCCCCGGCCCCCCCACCCCGCTGGCCCCGGCCTTGGCCCTGGCACTCCAGCCCCGGCCTCAGCCCCGGCTTCAGCCCCAGCCCCATGCCCCAGCCTGGGCCCCGGCCCTGGTCCCAGGGCCCCGTCGCCTCCCAGACGCCAGGCCCCGAGGAGACACATGGCTCTCCTCCCCCATTCCTTGCCCTTAGAGGTAACTCCTCCCTGTCGCACCCCGAAGCCGGTCGAAAAGTCACCGGGCGTTTCGCTTGGGGCTTCCTCACCACTCATGATCAGAATGCATAAGAATTGACCACCATTTCGCATATGGAGGGCAGGTGGTTTTCAAAATGTGGCTCTCGCCTCGGCGCCGCGCACATTTGTTTTAAACATGTGCAAGAGCTTCACGGATTGAGGACAGGTTGATTTCAAAATGTGGCTCTCGCCTCAGCACCGCGCGCTCTTGTTAAGAAGCTGCAAGTGCTGAACGGATTGAGGGCGGGTAGTTTTCAAAATGTGGCTATCGCCTTAGCGCCGCGTACACTCGTTGTAAAAGGTTGCAAGAGCTTCACGATTGAGGGCGGTTCCTTTCCAATATGTTGCTCTCGCCTTCGCGCCGCGCACATTCGCTTCAATTTGTTTGCAAGAGTTCCACTGGCTCTCATTGCTAACGTACCAGACACGGTGTTTGGGAACGATTGAGGACTGTCAGGGTGCATCAGTTACGTCGATTCGCGGTGTTGAAATCCAAGGAGTTGTGCTCTGGCACGACTCATGACAGCCAAGACGAAACAGTCAGGTTAACTCGTGGCGTTGAAATCCTGATATTGGTGTTTTGGGTACACCTGAAGATCTTCACACGGTTGTCCCCCAACGAGATTCCCTCAGTGGAGGGATCTTGGAGGGAGGATGTATTTCAACATCGTGGATCAGTCTTGGGCTTACAATGGTCCTCCTCCTCCCCTCCTCCTCATCATCATCATCAGTAGCATCATCATCACCACCACCACTATCATCATCAGCAGCATCAGCATCATCATCAACTTCATCATCAGTATCATCATCAGCAGCAGCATTATCATCATCATCATCATCATCATCATCATCATCATCATCAGCAGCAGCAGCAGCAGCAGCAACATCAGCATCAGCATCATCATCCCCCTCCCCCTCCCCATCCCACTCCCCCTCCTCCTCCCTCCACTGCCCGCCCCATGTCCCGAGCTTGTGGCATGGCATCAGCTCGTCGTTGTCATCGTCTTCGTGGGGGTCGTCGTGGTCGCCGTCGTCGTCGTCGTCCTTCTGGATCGGCGGCGCCGGCCGTAAGGCCTTCACAAAAAGATCTCTCGTAGGAAGACGAGATAACTTGGAGCAAGGGTTTATTGCACCTTCGTTGATGCGCTTTGGGTTTACACTGGTCCTCCTCCTCCTCCTCCTTTTCCTCTTCCTCATCCTCCTCCTCCTCCTCCTCCTCCTCCTCCTCCTCCTCCTTCTGCTCATCCTGCTCCGCCTGCTTTCCCTGCTCATCCTGCACTCCTGGATGTCTGGACCCATCACCCGAGAGCGCATCCTCATCCCGAGTCGTTCTTGTTGACGATCCTGGGGCCCGGCGGGGGCCCCCCCCCGGAGGCTGAGCGCGGCCAAGAACCCTCCGTCGCAGTGTTTGCCCACGAAGCGACAGGGTCTGGACTCTCCCCCTCCTCCTCCCCCTCCTTCCCTCCCTCCCCTTCTCCCCCCTCCCCCCCCCTCCTCCTCACTCCCCTCGTGCCTCGAGCGAACCTGGGAGCCCGCCCCCCGACCGCCCCGAGAGAGAGAGAGAGGGAACCAGTGAGCGGCCGCGCGCATCGGGGCGCGGTCTCCGGCGGGCGGCAGCCGCGACATGATCTCACTGAGGATCTGGCCGTGCTCCCTCCGAAGCTCTCCGGTGGGCGGCAGCCGCGACAGGATCTCGTTGAGGATCTGGCCGTGCTCCCTCCGAAGCTCCCGGAGCGCGCCCAGCACGGGGTCCTCGCCCAGGGGGTCCCCGAGCCCCTCTCGCCGTGAAAAAACCACGGCGCGAGGCTGTCTTGCCATTTTCGGCCTCGCGGGCCCGAACCAGGGCCCCCAGAGCGTCAAGAACCGCCTCGGGACGAGCAGCTGGTCCAGGGGAAGGGGTCCCGATCCCCGGGGCCGCGCTGTGAAAAACTCTCCCCGCCGGAGCTCTGGGAGTGTGCGCCGGAGGCGCCTGTGCACCACCGTCGCGCCTGGCCAGGGGCATCCAGGGCTGTGGCACGGTGCAGAGCCAGAGCTTCCAGTCCGGCGGCCCCACGCGCCGCCTGCAGCCTGCGGAGCACGGCCCCCTCCTGCAGGGGGAGCGAGGCCGCCACAGGGCGTGCACCGCCGCCACAGCGGCACCGTGGAGTGCGCCCTCCTGGCCCGGACCAGGCGGGCCCAGGCGCACCATTCCCAGGCCTGGCCAGGAACGATGGCGGTGTGCAGACTCCTCCTGCGGAAGGGATGCCGTGCGCCGCCAGAGGGAGCACACCGGAACTCGTGATTGAGACAGCGTGAGCCTAAACTAACAAGCTCTGCAAGTCGCGTTCTCTTCACCAGCGATCTAGGTTTAGCGCTAGAATCTCGACAGACAATCTATAGGAAAACAATGGCAACAGGAGCAGACTGCTGATATAACAAACGGAACGAAGGAGGGGAAAGACGACACTACAAATCTAAGAAAATCTGCAGAATATACCCTGGAATCAATACTGTCGTATAAATGCTAAGATCTGAGAAAACTCAGAATATGATCTGCAAGCTGTTGTTTGATATATTTGATTGGAGTGAAAGGAATCCAGACCTCCAGCGGATTGAGGGAAACATACGTTGTTCGTCGTCGTTGGCCTCTGGGACCACTCGCCAGGCCCCTGGTACCATCAGAACACGGATCGGGATGGAAAACGGCCCGGGGGGCGTGGTCGAAAGAGTGGAGGGGAGAGAGGGGAAGGGAAGATGGATGAGCAGCTGGAGGACGTGTGAGGAAGTGAATGGGGGAGGGGGAAGCGAGGAGGAGAGGAAGCGGGCAAAACTGGAGGGAGGGGGAAAGGGGGGAAAGAGACACGGGAAAGAGGAATGGGGATAGGGCCTTGGACACCGGCTTAAGCTACGCAGGGGCTAAGGCTGGCGTCCCCATCAGGACTTGCGGGCCGTGCGTTAAGCCCGCGCAAAGCTCCTAAGAAAGATGGCACTAGACATACATGTCGACCGTCGCCATGCGAGACTTGGGTTCACAAGTCTGTGCGGGATGCGACAAGACAGGCCCGAAGGCGACGAGTTACTCGTCCCTCGCTGAGACCCCGAATCTGTCCTCCACGCGTCCATCCATCCGTCCTCATCCCCTCCTGCTTCTCCCACTGCGCTCTCGAACGCGCCACAAACAGGCTCCGAGGCAGCAGCACACATCCCCAGAACCAGCTATGGCTTCGAAGTGACCCTGGCCCGAGACCTGAAGGCACCCAGAGCCCAGCAGGAGGCAGAGGAGCCCACCCACCACCACAGCTTCGAGCCCTCGCCCCCCGCGGCTGGCCTGAGAAGAGGAGCCACTCTTTGCCCCTCGACGGTCGGCCAGCTGGTGTGCATCTATGTGTCCGCCACCGTGCCGCGAGGCGCTCGGTGGAGCGTCGCTGCATGGAAAGAGGTGGGCGTCCGGGTGGCCTCTCCCCTCAACCACGGGGAAGAATGAGCTGGCCAGTCGTGGAAGAATGAGCTGGCCAGTCGTGGCCTCTCCAGGAAGGTCGCGGCAATGGAGCCGCGCGCCGTGCGGGCACGAGCCGGGCGCCACCCGTCAGCCCTAAGTGGAGCATCCTCAGGCCCTCTGGAGTCCTGCAAACTGAACAGCGGCTGCGCTTCTTCAAAGGCCCCGAAGCCCAAGTCCCCGAAGTCCCAATAGCCCTCTGGGCGTGAGTGGTGGTAGGGCGTTTTCTCTTCCGTCTTCTCTCTTCCCCCACGTGGAGGATTTTACTTAGGTGTTGGACCATTTTGGTGTCCTCGGGGGAGGGGGGGGGGGGGGGCTAATTCAGCCCCCCCCCTACTTTGATCGATCCCCTCCAAGATGGCCCCGATGTAGCCCCCGAGGAGCTGAAGAGTGCCCCAAGAGGGCTCCAAGAGGCGACCAGGCGGCGCCAAGAGGCCTCCAAGAGATCCCCAAAACGCTCCCAAGCGACCCCCACGAGGCTGCAAGAGGGTCCAAGAGGCTCCCCCGTGCTCACCCAAGACGCTCTCAGAGGCCCCCAGGACCGCCAAGAGGCCCCCAATACGAACCAAAAGGACTCACCGAAGCTTTCAAGAGACATCCGAAGAGACTCCGAGAGGCATCCAAGAGGCCTCTGGCCATTCTGCTCGCCCTCGTCCTCCTCCTCCTCCTCCTCCTCTTCCTCCTCCTCCAGCCCGCTATTCCACTGCATGCTCCACATCACTGATCAGGGCAACTCGCCTGGGCATCGTTTCCGGATGGGCTGTTGGGGTCATGCGGAGCGTCTAGAATTTCACTGATATTCCACATGGTTTGTGGGAGCTTCTCGCGTGACGTTCTTACAGGACGGAGACCACGAGGCTGGGCCAAGAGGGCCCCCAGACAGTCCAAAAAGGCCCCAAAATGGCCCCAGAGCACCTCGAGATTACCGAAGCCGGACTCGAGACGGCCCAAGAATGCTCCAAGAGGGTATCCGTGAGTGTCCCAGGAAGCAAAAACCATTGATTGTCCTGACATGCTTGAAGGAGGCTTGCGTCCCCGCCTCTTCTAGCTTCCAACGCTCCAAGACAGCCCCCCACAGGTCGCCCCGACGCTGTCCAAGAGGCCCTAAACACAGTCCAAAGTACCAGAGGGCCCGAAGGAGGCGCCCAGGACAGCCCAAGAAGCCACCAAAAGGGCCCCAAAAGAGCGGGTCTGGAACTGAAATCGTGAGCCGTTCTCCCACACTTTGCCCCAAAGATCCTCTACATACCTTCAAGGGTCCCCCAGAAGTGTCCAGGAGGCCCCACGAAGCCCCCGGGAAGCCCTCGAGAGGCCCCACGAGGCCCCTCGAAATGCACCTAAGACCGAGGGGCACCCAACAGACACCAGGAGACATCCAGCAGGCCTCTGGCCCACAACCCAGGCACGCACGGTTGCGGGATTGGCAGAAGGCCAATAGATATACCCATACGCATGCATACACATACACAAAGAGGTATGCCCGCATACGTCCATATACATCCAAACAGCAATACGAACACTAGCTATAGCAACCACAACAACATCCATAAGCATACGATTGCTAACATGCATGATGCATAACAACAATGCGACTTATACTGCAGCGAAGTAATAACAATATTTTTCGAGCAGGCGATACTGTGTCGGACATTCAAGTGTCTGGGAGTCAATATCACGAAGTTCTAGCTCTTAGGGTGTGGACGATATCTCGGTGTTTTCCTGGGCCCCGGTAGGTGTGACGCCTCGTGGAATGCGCCGTGCAAGAAAAATAAAATAGCACTACGAATAACACAAATATGAAGAATTAGACTAGCAATACTACGTGTGGCAATGATAAGCATACGAATCGAAATACCATGCATCATCGTTGCAACAATGAGTTACCATGGCGCAAATGATAACGATGAGGATAGAATTAGGAGGAATAACAACTAGATGCAGAATAATAAGAATGATAAGGATAACACAATCAACAATAACGATGCTAGTAACACCTACGATTAATGTGTAATGTATAGATGCATGTATATGTATATATATATAGAATCCGTTTAACTAGACAAAAATGTGTACACGTAGATGTACAGTACAAACGCCCACCTGCACATCTAAATATACACACCCATGTTTGCGTGCGTACATACCGATACACACACAGGCATACACACACACACCTAAAAATGTACATGCATATATGTATACATATATATATATGGATATGTGTACGTGCACAAGGGCATGAATGCATACGTACATACATGCATGCATATATAACTACCTACATACATCTATACGTACGTACATACATGCACGCACGCATGCATGCATACATACATACAAACAGCCCTGCGTACATGCATACATTCATTCATGCACACGTACAAAGGTGCATACATACACACATGCATGCATGCCTGCAGACAGCCAGTCAGACAGACAGACAGACATGCATGCATGCATGTACATATATACATGCATACATGCATGCAATGCATACATACAGACATGCATATATGCATGCATATATGCAAACATACATACAGAAACCTATACGTACAGCCATATCTGCATGCATACGCACGCGCATACATACATGTGCGCATGGTATGCGCAAGCCTTCTCCCTCCCACCCTCCACCCTCGCCCCGCTGAAGCGGAGGAAGAGCGGCGGGGAGGAGGGGTGATGAGGTGGAGGGGGAAGGGAAGGAGGGGGAGGGGGGGAGGGGAGAGGAGGGAGGGGGGGATGAGATGGGCGGGAGGGGAAGAGGGGTGATCGAAAGAGAAGTTGAAAGGAGGGGAGGGAAGGGAGGAGGCGGGACGGGGAGTGAGGGGAGGGCGAGCGGGGTGATAGGAAGGGGGATGAGGAAGAACATGGGAAAAAGGAGAGAGGGGAAAGGAAGAAGGCAGAAGAGAGGGAGGGGGCTCGGGAGATAGGCGAGCGGATGGGACCGCGACTTTTACGGCACGGCCACGAAACCTATCGCGGCGACCGCGACTACCGACACCACCGCGATACCCCAGTGTGCCGTGCTTTGGTACGGTGCCGTGCCATTCGGCTAAGATGTGGACTGCAATCGATATGAGCAGATGTGAACTGTTCGGGTATCCCTCAAGGGCCAGGCCAGATAAGGCCCTGGACTCGACCAGGAGCCCAAGGCACGCAGCTCATCAAGATCCGCATCCTGGGAAGTGCGCCGACCCTCTGGCAACTCGCTCATTGCACCTCTGCGTTCCCGAATCATCTATCGACGCATGTCCCAAGGGTCTGTATAGAGGCAGGGGCACGAGTGTCGTAACGCACCCAGGAAACGAGGTATGAGCAGACGCGTCATTTCCTGCACCATCTCGTTTTCCTTCTTCTTACAGTAATCCTCTTCCTGCTCCGCCTCTCCTCCTCCTCCTCCTCTGTCCCCTCTTCCTCCGGGATCGAACGCAGCCATATGTATCCTCCGTATG